GGTATGTTTTCCGATCCGATCAACCGAATCCTTTATTAAACACAAAGCGCCGAATTACCTCTCCTGAAAGCGTTTGTGAAAGTTTTGTCAGATTGTTACATTTCTTACGTGAAAGTGTGACTTTGCAATGATCTGACCGTATTATTGACATTGTAACATTGTTGATTCCTTTGGTCGTGCAGGGAAAATTTTGCAATTGGCGAAAATAAAAGTAAAACTCGCTTCTGAAGAGAATACAATAGAGAGGTATCATGGAAACCAAACTTTGGTTCCGAATGAGACAGTTTTAAATCAAGCTGTTGAAATTGTGTGCACATCTGATTTGTTCACTGACTGTGTAGTATTTAGTATTTAACCAAGCGGGGAAGGGAAAAGAAGGACGTTTACCGAGTTACAGTTGGGATATAACAAACACCTAACTTTATACGTATAATAGCTAGTTTGTATGTGTCTTATTTTTATTTGTAGTAACCAGTACACAGCTATTACTGTCATTAATGCGTCACAACTGACCATCGCCTACGCCGATAAACGTTCACGAGTGTAAAGGAGAACGACAAACCGTACCATTCGTCGTTTCGCTTACTTCACAAGGTTCACCTGCGGGTGCGCAATGTAAGGGAGAACGACGAATGTCGAATAACTTTGCTACTTTTTACCTAAACCATTCAAACTTTAGAAACTGCTTTATGAACACCTCAATCAGATATCTGGTGAATTACAGCTTGAAAGAGTAAAAAATAGAAGAGTTATAAAGTGAAAACTGTTTTTGCCTCTCCTGAAAAATTTGCCTCGCTACCTGCGCTGGACCATTCGTCGTTTTCCCTTACGACGGCAGAGCGGGTCACAAGAGTGTGACAAACATACAAAAGAAGTAGATGAAAAATGACGATAATAAGGATTAGGAAAGAAAAAGCAGTTCCCTGTTGCAGTTCAAGCACAATAATGAGCATGACATTGATGAATCAGCCCATTTACAATTCTACTGTGCATCTTTGGGAATGGCCTAAACAGACTTCAGTCAGTAGCACCTCCCCGGGGGTTTTGTTACCATTTAAAAAAGATACTTTTCGATTTTAATAAACAGAAGTAAATCGACACAGATCTAATAACGGCCATTGTGCAACAAATTTATTACACTTGAAATGGTGGTAGAGGTAGACCATGATTTATCCTACTTGTGAAGTTGCAAGTTGTAATCGCTTGTTGAAACTCGTGATTACAACTTGGCAATTTCACTCGTAGGATAAATCAAGATCTAACATTTTAACTTTAATAATAAATTCTTTATACACGACCTGCTGGAAAAAGGTGATTTAGATTTAGTAATAAAAATTTGATAATCACTCTATTACACTTCCGTCGAGAAGGGAGTGGGGGGGGGGGGGGGGGGGGCTTTCGTGGCCTAGAGGTTAAGGTGATCGCCTCTCATTCAAAGGTCCTGGGTTCAAATCCGGGTAGCGACGTAAAAACTTTCTTCTCTAAAATTGTCTCCTTTCACCCCCTTTCCTGACTCCTTGGCTCCTTAATGCTGTCTTTCAGCCCTGATCTACTGTTAGAAAAGATCTACACCTAGCCTTCTCGGACAAGGGCAAAAAATCTCATACGTTAAAGATCCCTTGGTGGTCTAAAATCGATTAGAGTAGGCTTCGGCCGTCACCCGGGGAAAATTCAAAATTTCCTACCATCTGAAAACTTAATGTGTCCCGCGCGCTCATGTGACCTTATGCAGTTTCGAGCGCCGTAACACCCCCCTCCCCCCCCCCCCCCCCCCAAAGGCATGTCAGTCGGCACGCCGGGAAAAACTGACTCATATCTCACACTCACAAAACACCAGACTGCTCATAAACCCATTTAGATCTATTCGTGAAAACACCAAAGAATTTTTTTAAAGAAAGTGAAATACAGAAAGGAAAAAAAGTGCATCAAACTCAAAGAGATTATAAAATGGAAAAAAAAGTGGAGGGACAGGCAATATAAAAGCAAGAATGTAAAGCATTATAATGCTACGCACGATTACATCTTGATTTGCGTATCAATTTAAAAAGATGAAGGATTCTGTTACAAAATTTCTTGAACATAGACAACAGAAAAAATAAATTCCAATTGAGAGTGCCGATATAACAAGGATAAAAGTTTGTATTATAAACCAACGTAGTGGAAAAGTTGAATAAAACCCTTGGAATAAGACCCTCGGACTTCGTGTTAAGGGACATAACTCTTTTTTTTTTGGTTTCAATACGTGTACTGGATTTTGACATGAATTCCATCAGTTATATAAACCAAGCTGCATGTATATATATATATATATATAGATCTATATATATATATTATATATATACATGTATTATATATATATATATATATATATATATAATTTATATATGTATATATTGCATTAAAATTTTGTAATTGTAAAACAACTGAAAATCTTTAAACACGCATTCTTAAGACAGAATGTGTATGCATTTGAACGCCAAGGTCCCCCCCCCCCCCCCCCCTTAAAAAATGGTTCGCACCCGACTGTGATTGAACAATGTTTTCTATTTGTCTTTGTTATTATAATGTGTGATATTTTAGCGGGATTACAATTTTAGTCTTATGTATTAATTTCACACGAGCCAGACTTGAAAGAATAATAACATTTTTTTGCAATTATAATAATAAAAATTTACGTGGAATAATCACTTTTTCAAGTGAGCAACAATCAAGACGGTCACAACAGTAGCGCCTGAGAATGGTGATACATGTACCAGGTACCCACTCATTGAGGATGGGATCGGGTCGGGTCAAGTCGGGTTGGGTAGATTGCCCGACTCGTCGCCAGAAAACGCATGTGTTTTTCATACGGGCTGCCCATTGGGCGATCGGGTCGGGTCGGGTCGGGGTGGTTTGGGCACCCCGTATCCAGATTGAGGGCGCAAAGCGGCTGTCGTGGCACAGGCCGATCACGCCCGACTCGTCGCCTCAAAAACAAATACATGTATAACGCGTTTGTTTTCAGGTGACGGAAGAGAGGGGCGATCTACTCCGACCTATACGTTCTTACTCAGAGCGTCTAGTCTCCGACCCGTCCCGTCCAGAGTCACCAGACCCGACCTGATCCCATCTGCAATGAGCACCTCGTATACGCGTTTGTTTTTGAGGCGACGTTTCGGGCGCGATCGGCTTGTGCCACGATAGCTGCTTTGCGCCCTCATGTGGCTAGCAAACCGCTCCACCCCGACCTGATCCCCCAAAGGGAACCCCGTATACCAACAACAGCAAAAAAAAATTAAAATTTTAAGCGTTTGTTTTCAGGCGACGAGTGGGTCGACCGCCCCGGACCAGACCTGACCCCATCCGCAATGGGCACCCCCAGAAAGGGTTTTTGAGGCGACGAGTCGGGCGCGACCAGGTGCCCTTTGGCACGATCAGGTCGGCTCGGCTCGGTTTGCTTGCTAGATAGAGAAGGCAAAGTGGCTGTCGTGGCACAAACTGATCGCCCGACAGTGCACAAACCGACCCAAAATATCCCTCTTCGGACTCATATAGGTGAATAAACGTTCATTATTACGTTTACTCACGGACTATTAAAACAATAGACTGTGTAAGTGTCGCTAGGCAAAAGGGCCCTCCATTCCAGAGAGTACTGCCTTTCGATACATGAATATGATGTTACGAGTTTTTAAAAAATAATTAATGTCAAGAGAAATATGGAAATGATCTAATTTTCAAAATACCAGTAGAATTGGAATCAAAAGTAATTTTTAAAAAAAGTCGTTTTATTTTTTTTAATGGAAGGCCTAATTAGCATTTACATGTAGATGTCGCTTTAAAAAGATATAGAGAAGTGTTTTTGTGTTCTCGTCGACACATTTTAGATCATTTAAGGAGGCGCGGGCTTTCGACCCTTATACATGTATAATTCCTGTCAGTGTCAACCCAGGCTGAGAGAGATGCAACACCCCAGGGGAAAGACCGAGATATTCGATACTTTTTTCCCATTCGGGAATTTAATCGACCTGAGGTCTCCTGCATGCCACAATTACGAAGGACTTAAACCTCTACAACTATAAAAAATCAATAGAGAATCTTCGATGATGGCTGAACCTAAATAGGTTGTATTGTAGGCCTATTTTCTTTAAAAAAAACAACAACAGATTTTCACTCTTAATATGGCCTACGGTACAGAGACATTTCTCAATATCTACAAACCTGCGAGGTGAACTAAAGAAACATTATTTAGCGTCACAAGCTAAGATAAACACGAGAGAGAGAGAGAGAGAGAGAGAGAGAGAGAGAGAGAGAGAGAGAGAGAGAGAGAGAGAGAAGAAGAAGAAGAAGAAGAAGAAGAAGAAGAGAGAGAGAGAGAGAGAGAGAGAGAGAGAGAGAGAGAGAGAGAGAAGAAGAAGAAGAAGAAGAAGAAGAAGAAGAAGAAGAAGAAGAAGAAGAAGAAGAAGAAGAAGAAGAAGAAGAAGAAGAAGAAGAAGAAGAAGAAGAAGAAGAAGTTGGTGGTGGTGAGAAGTATTTTTCTTCAGGAAAAACGAAGTCTTGTACATGTATGTCTCCTGCGGACTGCGACTCTCACTCCTTCAACCACGAGAGCTGTAGGAAACTGTACTACACGTACAAGTACAAGTAGGCCTGTTATTAACACCGTTTGTCAAATACTGTACTTATTAGCCTACGTACAGTCACAGTCCTTTCTTGTAGTCCATATCTCTCAATAATACCCCCCCTCGCAAGAAAAGTTAAAATTCAAAGAGGTGCTTTAGGCTACTTTAGCAATTTTGAAAAAAAAATCACTCACTGCATAGATTATTCGCTTTCTAATCCTCCTCATAATATGCTTCCTCAGCCCTTAATCGTTTTGTAAGATGAAAGTGGTAATCCAGGTCGAGTGGCTGCCTTTTCCGGAAAAAAGCAAACATGCAAAACACGTCGTGGGGGTTTGGGAGGGGGGGTAATAATTAAAAATGTTTCCAAAGTTATCTGCTTTTATTTCTTAATGCAAATTAAGAGAATTCTGCCCCATCGTCGTAACACGACGCACATAATATTTATATTGACAGCTATTGGCTTCAATCGGTGTTGGTTATGCAGAATTTGAAACAGCCTGCAATAATTAAAAGATTGTTATATAACTTTCAAGTCGAATTGATTCATTAGCCAGACGCGGATGTAAAAAGCAACAACAAAAAAAGCATGCCTTTGTTTGTCAACAGAGTCAAATGCAATCTGTAAAGTAAGAGACCTTTGCACCGCGACGTTGCCTGCAGCAGAATTATAAGACGGAAGCAGAAAACAAGCGAACAAGCAAAAAGCTACAACAATTTCAGCACAGTTGACGCCTGCAGGCGGCTCTTTGTTTTGATACACACGTGTGTGAGAAAGAAACGTTGTTTGTACACAAAAAGGTCAACCCACAACCAGGAAGCGCATTGCTCAAAAACTATTGCTCAAGATCACAAGAAAATCAACACACTGATGGTTTCAATAAAAATAACAGTCGTTAGCTAAATCAATGTTTCATTTACATTTAATTTGAAAAAATAGAACATCCGCACAATAAGCAGTTAGGCCTAGTAAAGTTATTTACCACTTTATTTTCCAAAGTTTAACCCCTTCTCATTAGAATAATTTGCCAACCAATCAAAACAACAATGGTCAATATTCATGCGCTGACAAATATACACTTTTATAAACAAGTCTTATGCACTTTCACAAGTTACAAGATTATTTTAAAATCTATTTCATAAACTTATATTCTCAAATATATCAATATATTTTTGTGGTAGAGATAAAAATTCAATTTGATTATGGCTCTCTTTTTATAGCGTAATATTGTTTAGGTCTACTTTGTGATTCGGCGTAGTTTCAGTAATGTCGTGCAGGGATATCATTTGGACAAACGACTGATGGTCTTTTCACTAAATTTTCAGTAAGTTTGTATTTATGTGTGTATTTTTCATTTGCAACATATTTTATAAAACCATAAGTATTGTTTGCTTCATTTTGTTGTTGCCCTGGCCTCTCTGTGTTTTGCTTTTTGTGCGGACGTGCCGTGTGTCATGCCGTCCGTTGAAGTTGCTGCCTGATGTTGATCTTTCCCGTGGGTCTTGTTGATGGTGCGGTATGATTTTGAGCATGTAAATCACATGCCTATGGTCTTGTGGACTCTTGAACATTTAATCGTGCTATCAAACAACGGTATACATGTTAATTGCAGCTTATTTAGTGGAAACAAAAACAGTTGAGAGTACAAGTTTCATTTGAGGGAGAATAGTCGGCATTACAGCACACCGACGCCATATTTGTTGTCGCTGTGAGACCTTCTTTCAAAGGGGGATCACCTCGTGTCTTGCTATAAATTCTCAGAAATCGGAGAATCGTGTGACCCCCATGCATTTTTTCTTTTGACTTTTGGTACGTTTTTAATTACGTTTGTTGATTTCCGAAAAATTACTATTGTCATAAAATGAGAAAAGTGTAGATCTAGAGATATTAATTGTGGAAAATGTGTAGTGTGTAGTAGATTCTAGATCTAGATCTAGATATCTAGATCTAGATCTAGAATCTAGATCTAGATCTAGATTTAGATTATCTAGATCTAGATATATCTCCTAACCTAATCACCTGCCTAATCAACTAGAATCTAGAATCTAGAATCTACTCATCCTACCCAGTCCAGTCAGTCGAGTGGCATAATTGTGATTGTCGGAATGCAACTCTCCACTCAGCAGTGTGACTCACTCAAGTTGAATGCAATTATTGTCTTTGCTGGAGCAGTGCTTTTGATTTTTGTTTCGCTATGCTATTGACTATTGATTATGAGGTAAAATGTTACTTTACTTTAGGCTTGGCTACGTTCACGGCGCTGTGAATGTAGTCTGCAGGCTACGTTCACGGCGCCCTGAATGCAGTTTGCAGGCGCTGTTGACAGTTGAGGCTATGTTCACGGCACTCAAGCTTCGTTTAGGGGGAGCGTCAGGGGCGGCTCGTTGGGCTAAAAAGTGGGCATGCACAGCTAAGCTTAGAAGCAGGTTGAAGATAGTCAAGGGCAAAGTAAATGGGATGGTAGGATCTTTGAGTCGGTGAAGGAGGACCTTATTAAATGCTTTTGTTTTCATTCTTTTTACTTGTCGCTTTGATTTCTAGAACTAGAATCTACAATGTAAATCTGTTTGTTAGCTGAATTTCAATTTCTTTATCCTTCATTGGAACCAAACACTCAATTAATAACTTTCACTACTCCACTAAAAAACAATTCAAAGGCACAACTCATAGAGTGACTAAAGTATGTCACGTTCACCTCCCTCAGGTTCACGGTCACAGAATCATTAAAATAGTGGCAAGACAATGGACCAATCACAATTCACTTGAGCACTCTGCTGGATTGCTCCGGGGATAACGTAATTTTGGCATAGAATAGACATAGTCATGATAGTGTGGTCTATAGCAGTGTTATAGACTACCTACTGTGGGCTATGTTTCGTGGGTGCACATCTGAGATATATGCCGTCTTATTAATTGTAATGTACCGCCAAACTTGCTACGAGTGCTGTCATCGCTTGGGTTGTCCGAAAGAGCAATTTATAGGTCAGATTGCCACTGTTGAATGTCCTATTATGTTAAGTATTATTAAGTGTTGACTTTGGCATGGCATAGTAGATGCTTTACAACGCTTTTGCCGGTGCCAGGGAGGACCTTGTTTTGATATAAATATTTGGCTAGTGTTTCTTCTGGCTTCTTTTATTTCATGTTTGTGGGTACTTTTCGCAATAAACCATTAAAAACTTTTGGGTGGCACTGAACGACTGTGCTCTATGGACGAACCGCGCCTGTTTCCCATCTCGGTATTTTTTTACTTTCCCTCCCTTCTCTGAGGGGGTTCAAAGGCACAGCCGGTGGGATCAAGGATCGCTTGTCCGATCGGCAAGCAGTGGTCAAAACTTCACACCTCTCAATTGCTATCATGTCTGATAATGACATGCAGTCTTACTTATCCAACTCGAAGTGATTATTCGGACTCGAGTCCGAATATGAAAAAATGTTATTCGGACTCTGATTCTTGTCCAGCATGACATCACTTCCAACTTCCTGTGACTCGTGACTCCGGATTCCTGTCCTGCCTCACTCGTGACTCGCCGCAGGCTGGGTAGAGACCGGGATCACTTCGGGCAAAAAGGCGTTTTTTGCAGGAGCCGAGTTTTAATCTTATGATGAATTTGAGGCCGGCCTGAAAAGTTATAGCGCTTCTAATAAATGTTTATTTGTCAAGAGGTCAGCAGAAGCAATTAAAGATGGCTCGTTAGCGTGTGTCGGGGTCGGATGGGCGGGCTGCACACGTGTGGCTGTGTGCGTGTCGGGGAGGGGGATGGGGGGGGGGCACTATCGGTCCGGGCGTTGAACGTCGCATACGTGTCAGTCTCCCCCCCCCCCGGCAACTGATCATTATTACAATAATAAGCTAGTCTTGACGTAGATCTACGTAATGAATTGTGCGCTGGTCTATGGAATCAAAAGTTGCCGTATGCTCAGCTCTACACAGCAACACAACTTTTTTCGGGATAAACAGCTCATAATATGCAGGTGCCAGGTGGTCTGTTAATCTTCAATTTCACCTTTTTCTACAACAAAGAAAGTGGGAAACATGGGGGGTGGGGCGTTTCAATGAGGCGGCGGGCATCGGATCGGCAGAAAAGGTGCGATAACATTTTTTCATATTCGGACTCGAGTCCGAATAAGAATTTTTTTTATTCGGACTCGAGTCCGAATATGAAAAAATGTTATTCGGACTCCAGTCCGAATAACGACGGCCTATCCAACTACCACCAGTGCTTGTCTTTCATAGGACCACTGTTTGACCTATTAAAAACAAACGTTGGAACATCTCCTTTGGTTTCACCCTTAGCCCCACCCACCAATGCCACCCCTCACTGCCATCATTGTAACAAAGATTCTAGGAACTCTTTTCTCGGCTGGCCCTACGATCAGGGCAGCAGGCATTGGTCAATCTAATTTCACTCCTCTGGCTTCTGGCTACCCAGAAAAGTTTCCGTAGTGGCTCCCTACTCGAGCACTCTCACAGGCAGTCGTGAGATTTCACACCCACACTACCCTGACCATCTGCATTGCTCAGGGCTCATATATGATGGAGTAACATCTACCCCCAAATTGCACCCCTACTCCCCTTCTTCGCCCAGCGGCATGGCCATACCATTAAGTTTAGAGCCAGCGGAACCAAACGTGCGAGTTTTGTTTAAAATCAGGGCTGAGCGGGCAAAGCTTTTTTTTGTCTTTGGTGAAACCCTCGGAAGGGAGTGGATTTTTCTTTCCGTTTCCGCGTTGGACAGGTTTCTGTTTTATGCAGGTAATCAAAGAGGAATAATATCATGGGGGAGCGGGGAGATTCCGTTTTAAGACAGGTTTCCGTTTTATACAGGTTTCTGTTAAGGCAGGTTCGACTGTATTTAATATTTTGGCCTGCTTCAGGTGTTTCCATGAGATGAAGGAAAACTCTAACGCCCTTACTGAATCAAATTTTGACTTTGCAGCTAGTGCAAATTATTGCTTTTCGGGATATTTGATGTTTTTACTCAAACTTTCTGTATTACAATACAGTAGAAAGCTATCATGGCCTTATTGTGCAACTTAACATTTTGTATTTTACATAAGGCCATCTGCGCTATTCTCACCCGGGGTGAGAACAGCGCAGTTGTAGGCCTCTCACACCGGGTGAGAATAGCCAACGCTGGCAAGTCTCACCTGGGGTGAGAGGTCGACGGTCAATCATATTTTTATTCTCACCCAGGGTGAGAATAGCCACTTTGTTTACACATGGTATTATAAAAATCTTTAAAGGGCATTAATCTGATGTTTTGCCATTAGGTTTGATATTTTCTTGAAAATTTGACTTGTGACGGTTTTAATGGCCTTGGATGTGTGTACTCCTGACTCTTTCTACAGCCTTTCTACTGCTACTCCTTGTCTCCTTCTTACTGCTGTCTTTCACCCACACCCCTGATTTTCCTGGTCTGAGAAAGATCTACACCTCTAGCCTTCTTGGACAAGGGCGAAAAATCTTGGAGGTCCCGTGTGCAAGTTGCTCACGTTAAAGATCCCTTGGTGGTTTAAAATCGATAAGAGTTGGCTTCAGCAGCCACCCGGGCAAAATAAAAAATTTGCTATCAGCTGAAAATGTTTAATGTGTCCCACGCGCTCATATGACCTTAAATGCTACGAGCGCCATAAAACATCTCCCCCCAATAAAACATGGCTTAGCGGTCACATCTCTGTCATAGCAGTTCCCTGTACTGATGGCGACTGTTCTTTGACACTTGTTTTTCTTATAAATACTGTCAAATCACGTTATAATACTGACCTTGGGCTTGGGACGAGTATGAAGATGACAGTATAACGGGATAGAGCATTGATTCAACTGATTGCTCTCTCGACTAGTCGTGGACTGGTGGAGACTATTGGTTAGAGACAAACTGGTCAGTCTTGCCTCATCTAGGTATTATGTGTCATGCTGTTAACATGTGCAGAGGAATAACAAGTTGGGTAACACCCTATTAGGTTACAAAAACAATTACAGTTCAGCAGAATTTTACTGGGTTTTTTTGTTACGTAAAATCAAACTGAAAGTTTCTGCCTGATCAGAAGCTTGGTTATTATAAGATATATAAGGACCCTGTAGAGATGTCTTTTTTTTTTTTTTAAATCCATTACGTGTCAATCCTCAGGCCGCCTCAAACCTCTATCTTGTAGACTTGAGTGAATCCTTACAAAATCGCAATAAAAGCCTCACATGTGGTTGCCAGCCTTTTTGTCATCAGTTAGCCAGATAGAATGCTACTAGCTGAGGTGGCACTGTTCCTTTGAAGTTTCTCTGAGCAACTAAAATTTCAATACATTTGTTGATGTTATTAAATATTTATTTAAAACTTTTAAATTTTTGATTGACCAAAGCCTTTGAATAAATTATGTTTTCATAAGTGGAAATCAGGAACAGATTGGGGCCAAGTGCTAGAAGAAATTAGGCTGAGCTCGTAGAGATAGGTGTAGAAAAGAGTAGCCACTGAGTGTGTAATTACTGTTATACCTATCGTAGCCAGTTTACTTTGATTATATTATAGCGGGGAAAATTTATGTCAAAGTTTGGTAAGAACCGTATAGCTCAAGCGGTTGGTTTTAGCAATGTTAAGGTGCAATTACTATGGAAGCACTTGTCCTTTTTGTACATATTTGCAAAATCTGGGAGTATACGAGCTTTGACTGTATTTTAGATTTTAACCTGTCCGAACAGTCCCTGTTCAAAGTAGCCAGGCTCTGTCATTTGCGTGATGAGTTGGTCTCAAAACCTGCTCATAGTGGTCATTGGCTACAAAAGTTTTCCGCCAACCTGTCCTCATATATGTCATGTGTGTGTGTGTTCAAATACAAAGAAACAGCTGGGCGTTTCGCCTGGCTAGGCGCTACAGATAAATTAAAAAACACACAAGGAGTGACTCTATACAGTGCTTACCTAATGACATGCGATTTTCGCGACACACATACACACACACACTCACAATATTATATGATGCATACAACATAAAATATGTGTACCTTATACTCTGTGTGTGATGTTCTTGCTGCCCATTCAACATCCCCCAACCCCAGCACATGGTTAGACGCCTGTTTCACATGCATTATCTCGTGTGTTGGTTTGAAAGAAAATTTTTGAATGATGGCATTATAAGATGGCTGTGACTGTGTGTGTCTCTGACAATGATGAGATTCCAGAAAGTATGATTTAAATTCAGTGTACTTTATAGCTACATGTGTGTATTTCCAGACCTCTTTGATTTAACTATGCAATACTTGGAATTGGTTGTGGTCAAGCCTTCTGAATGGCTATTAATATAAGTTGTCAGTTACCAAAGATAATGGACATGAGAATAGAAACAAAAGAAAGATGTTTCTCTTGGAGACAGTCATAAGTGCAGTGGACATTTTTATCAACCCCCCCCCCCTTTTTTTTTTTTGTGTGTGTATCAACACCGTTTCTCCATAACATTTAAAAACACGTGTTTAGGGTAAATTTTACATTAATAACAGTTGATCAAAGGCACAACAAATGTAAATTTGCAGTTTCCAAGGACTCTCAAACTTTGGCAGTCACCAAACTTTAGCAGCTATTTATCTCTGCTTTTTTTTTAAACCTCTGATACCAGGTGACCCCCACCTCATTCTCGCAAATGTCTCAGCTTCTGTTCAAGACAGACATGTTGTTTTTTTTTTTTTTACGTATCTAAAGCAAGAAACAAGTAGGGAAAAATATGCAATATATTATTGTAGGAAATATATCGTGTGTCCTCATTGTTGAATGGTACCTAGTACATGAGGAAAAGTTGAGAAAAGTAAAAAGCAATGCTGTCTCCAAGTTTTTTTCTTTTTTTAAGTTTAGAAGGCTGGAGTTCCTGGGACCATGATATATATATATATGTATAATAATTGCTAGGATAATTAACTTGTTGGTTTGTGGAAATAGTGTCAGAAAGAAGTACAACTCTGTAAAAACTTGGCCAGAATGGTAGCTCTGCATTGTACAAATTTTTTATCTTTATTTAGCCACCTCTTGGTTTCACTTGAAGAGTTCCTTTTCTGATCAACTTCTGACTGTGTTTATGTGACCTTTCCTTAGAGAATGTTTGTTCCTGTTTGTGGCAAGAGATAATGCCGAATGCTGTCTGAAATTTTTTGTTCTGTTTTGAATATGCATTGATTCTTGTGGTTTTCATTTAATGTTAGTATTTAAAACAGTTTTGTGCTTTCCCTTTGTTTATAAAATCTGCTTTCCTATTTTTCAGAAGATTTTGAGTGTTGCATTCTGATCAGCTACAATGGAGACGTCTAGTGGGGGTATTGACAAGATAATGGTCTTCAGGCCTACATATGATGAATTCAAAGATTTCAACAAGTACATAAAGTATATTGAGTCTCAAGGAGCCCACAGGGCAGGCTTAGCCAAGGTGAGCTAAATGTTGTATGTTTTAATTTTGTGAATAGTGTCTACAGAGAAATTTTATAATTTAATTGTTAAAGTGACATCAAGTGGAGAAAGTTCCCCTTGTTTTCAGTGTGTATGTGCTGGAGCTGATCATTATCATTCATTGTGCTGATTTATGCCATCATGACAACTTAAGCAGCTTTTTAGTGTTTTACAGCACTTGCAACATATTATAAAGGTCATATTTATTATAAGTGCCGAAGATTAGAGGTGTTACAAGAGAGTAACACACAAAAAAGGAGGGGAGATCAGGCATAAGGACGATAGATGTTGATAGGGAAGAAGAAGCAAACCACACCAGAGCACCCACCAACCACCAACATTAAGCAGCTTTATTGAATGCTGAGACTGTAAATTCAAAATACCAACCAGTTTCTTTTAGCTGACTGACTGTATTTCGGACTGTTACTGTTACTGATTTGCTTTTTTGTGTAGTATGCTTTTAGTAGTTGAAAACTCATTTTGTAGTTCCCAGATGTTGTTTCTAGCATACCTTGTGAATGTATTTTTTTTCTCCAACGATTTTTGTTTTGTATTCGCAGATCATACCCCCCAAAGAGTGGGTGCCGAGAAAGTCTGGCTACGATAACTTGGATCTGATGATCCCGGCTCCTATAGAGCAAGTTGTGACGGGCCAGCAGGGCTTGTACACACAGTACAATGTACAAAAGAAACCTATGCACGTCAAGGAGTTTGAAGAGCTCGCAAACTCTCCCAGGTTTGTAGTCTGAGCTGTTTCTCTTATCATATTAACATGTTTGTGAAAGTTCGTCACTTTGGTCGCCTAAAGCTTCCGAACCATTTAACTTTCAAATATTGAAAAAAATTAACGGTGGTTCAGAATCATTAAAAGATGCACAGTTATATTAAGGCGTCTGAAGTCACTGTAGTTTAATATTCAGGTTTTGATTGGTTTCATTTGAATCTAATCTTGGGAAAGTCCGTCTTCTAAGACGCCATATAAACAAGTGTGGCGTCCGTTCACAAGCAGTGCTCACTGTTCCATAATGACTTGTCGATCAATTCTTTTGAGTCCGTCCTTAGAACGGGTACCCAGCTAGTTAATTATATAAGTCTGGTTCTTCTGGTTCAGGTTTCTTATTCTAGTGTATGCAAGGGATTGGTGGGTGTTCAGGTGTCATTTGCAACTAGGTTTTCTCCCATTTTTCTGTTACAACTTTACAGCATCATTTTACTTCCAGTTAATGTTTCAGATAAAAAGTTTACGCTACAACATATGGAATTTGGGCGTTTTGTTTTTCTGAAAAGGACCGGTGGGGGGGTGAGAGACAGAGATTATCTTTGCATGCAAGTTGATTATTAGTTGAACGTCCATCCTCCACTTTTTTACCCTCTGTCATCATCCTAGACTTTGAATGAGATGTAGTAAGTTTTCTGTACCTGTTTCTTTGTTTTTTATTTCCCTATCATATGGAATAAGATGTTCTAGTCAAAGTATTTTTTGTTTTAGTAGAGGTTTTAAGGCGCTCGCAACTGCGTAAGTTCATGTGAGCACCAAGGGGTGGATATCAACGGAGAAGTCCTTACTAAACAGGGAATCAGGCTTACTCTGCTCACCTTTCTAGCCTCAACAGCACAAAGTCTGCTCCGACTATCAAGGCACCCTGGAAATAGCAGGTCACAAGAGTGTGACAATCATACAAAAGAAGTAGAGGAAAATAAATAATTAATAACGATAGTAAGGATTATGAAAGAAAAAGCAGCAGTTCCCTGTTGCAGTTCAGGCACAGTTATAATAAGCATGACATTGATGAATCAGCCCATTTACAATTACAATTTTACTGTGCATAAGAACATGGTTAATGTCCCCCCCTATGGGAATGGCCTAAAGACACTGCAGTCAGTAGCACCGTCCCGGGGGGTGCTAGCCGAAGTGTACATTTCTTGATTTGATTTGATGTTAGAACGATGCGTAAGAAAGTTTTCTTTATTGTTGATAAAAGTTTGTTTTAAAATGATGCCATTGTACCTTAAGAGAGTGGACCTCTGTTCATTCGCCACAAATGAATTGAGACCTATTTCTCGAAACACTGCATATCAGACAATTATATTTATTGTGGCTCTTGCAAGAAAAATGTGTAGTTCATTCGATCCAGCTTTACATATTGAGCAATAACTTTATCATTATTCTAGCAGCTATCACAATATGTTTTGACTTGGCAGTGTGAGTTTCTGAACTTGTTTATATCTTTTACAGGTATCGCACACCAAATCATTTTGATTTTGAGGACTTGGAACGGAAATACTGGAAAAACGTCACATTTGGCCAAGCAATCTACGGAGCTGACATCAACGGCTCCATCACAGATGACGACCAGGATTACTGGAACATAAACCGCCTGGGCACCATCTTGGACCACGTGAAGGATGACTATGGCATCAAGATTGAGGGTGTGGTGACGGCTTACCTCTACTTTGGCATGTGGAAGACGACCTTCGCCTGGCACACAGAGGACATGGACCTATACAGCATCAACTACCTCCACTTTGGTGCCCCCAAGTCCTGGTATGCCATACCGCCGGAGCACGGACAGAGGCTGGAAAGACTGGCTCAAGGTGAGACTCATGAGTCTCTTTAGTTTTAGTTTTTGTAGGGTTTTACAGCGCTCGCAACTGCATAAGGTCATTTGAGCGCCAAGGGGTAGATGTCGACAGAAAAGTCCAAATGGGGAATCAGGCTTACTCTGCTCACCTCTCTAGCCTCAACAGCACAAAGTCTGCTTTGACTATGAAGGCACCCAGGAAAGAGCAGTTCACAAGAGAGTGACAAACATACAAAAGAAGTAGAGGAAAATGAAGATAGTAAAGACGAAGAAAGAAAAAGCAGCAGTTCCCTGTTGCCGTCCATGACATTAATGAATCAGCCCATCTACAATTACAGTTCTACTCTGCATAAGAACATAGTTAATGTCCCATCTTTGGAAATGGCCTAAAGACACTTCAGTCAGTAGCACTGCCGGAGGGGGGGGGTGTCGAGTCTCTGCATGTGTTGTGGAATGCTTGTTGCTAAATGGGAGAGTTACAATTCTTTATAAATATGTGTTGGAGAAATTCTTGAGGGGGAAATGGGAGGGTCGAGGATCAGTTTGCATTTTGTAGAAATGTTTGAGGTAGGGGTTATGGGTTTTTCACGTCATGTTGAAGACAGGCCTGGGACAAAATGGGAAGGTCACATATCTGTTGTGTGTGTGTGTGCCAGAGAAATGCTGGAAGCAAAACAGAAGGGTTAGGGTTGCTTGAGGTAAAACTGGAGGGTTACAGATTTTTTCACATGTGGAAGAAATGCCTGGGACAAAGCAGGGCTGCCTGATATTACGAATTTATTGGAATTGTTACGATTTTTATGAACATACAGTCTAACACCCCTGATTCCATTTTATACAAAAATCGGCTACCCCAACTGCACTGCATATCTTCCTGGTTTATAGGGAATGAATAATAGAAACACTACAAGACCCGGACAGTCTACATCACTACGTCACGTGCAGCTGTCTTACTTTAACAGTATTAGCACCCTCTTTGCACTGAGCCTTTGTTGTTGCTCATTGCCACTTTGCCCTTGGAAAAACATTATTAAACTTTAGAAGTGCCAAAGTCTGGAGTAAGGCAAAGATTAGATTTACAAGGTGTTGGAAAATTCCTGCCCTTTTGCATCATCACACTTGTTTACGTTGAATTTAACAGTACTGTACTACAGCCCTGTCCTTTACACCCCATTGAAGAACATTTTCCATGGCCATATTACGAATTTCCAAGCCAGTTTACTAATTTTCTATCTATTTGATTACTAAAACATTGGTGGGTGGGCAGACACAGAAAAGATGGGACAGTCGCAGATCTTAATGTGTTGGAGAAATGCTTGAGACATGATATAGAGAGGGTTAGAGATCCTTGAGGCATGATATAGAGAGGGTTAGAGATCCTTGAGGCATGGTATAGAGAGGGTTAGAGATCCTTGAGGCATGATATAGAGAGGGTTAGAGATCCTTGAGGCATGATATAGAGAGGGTTAGAGATCCTTGAGACATGATATAGAGAGAGGATTAGAGATCCTTGAGGCATGATATAGAGAGAGGATTAGAGATCCTTGAGGCATGATATAGAGAGAGGATTAGAGATCCTTGAGGCATGATATAGAGAGGGTTAGAGATCCATGAGGCATGATATAGAGAGAGGGTTAGAGGTCCTTGAGGCATGATGTAGAGAAGGTTAGAGATCCTTGAGGCATGAAATACAGAGAGTTAATATGCATGCACACTCACACTTACGCACACCCACACTCGCACTTGTTTTAAAAATAATTACGTTGTATTGCGAGAAGCAAGTTCCGCTCGATAGTACTTATACTGGGTTAGTGTATTTTCTTTTTTTTTCTTTTTTTGTCCTTCTTTGTCTTTGTATTGCCTGATTTTTGGTGAAAATATCTGGAATTGACCCAGAATCTACTTGAAATAGGAAATTTGAGGTAGAGGCAGCTCTGAGTGAGTTGATTCAGACCTTATGAAAACATCATGAAATTAAAGAAAAGGTTTGGCCAACCTGTGTCTCTCTGGAGAAATTGTAGGGGCCTGTAGATATGCCAGTGAATTTTGCCAAAATCGTTATTGAAACTGGTCTTTAAATGAATAGGCTGTCAAAAAGAAGACCATAAATCTAACTTTCCTCTCTCATGAAGTCTTTTTTTATTGCTTGTGATGAGGAGTGGTGTTTTGAAATATGGTCTTTCTTTTGTTTCTATCCTATCTGAGAAGGGACTCATTTATCATTTATGTGTGACTATTATTGATAAATCATATTGTCGGCAGAATAAGTGAAGAGTGCAAAATTTTTCTAACCGATAGGAATAAAGTGGACTGGGGTTTGGCATTTTGTGGAGCCTTTTCATCGTAAATAGCAGTCCAGTTTTTGCACGACAGTTACTTAGTCAATTCTCAATGGTGTCTCCTGTCAAATCATTTGGAAAACATTGATTCTGCCACGGTCCTTACTAAAGCATTGGCAAGATTACTTTAAATAGTTCTTTGTTTAGAATTTTGTTGTTATTCTCCTCAGGTTTTTTTCCAAGCAGTTTTTCAGAGTGCCCTGCATTTCTGCGACATAAGATGTCGATGATATCACCTCATATATTGAAGAAGTATTCTATCCCGGTCAATAAGGTATGTAGTCCACATAAGACTGAAGAGATTCTTTTAAATGTGTGATAGTCTCCTTTGTCTTGCTCTTATGATCGTGATTGGGGGGAGGGGTAATGAACGTGGTGTATGCTTTTGATGTGTCAACCATAGGAGTACGAGATGGTGTTTAAAAGATTGCTTCTTGCTTGCAGTTATTTTGTTGCTTTGTTCATAGACAGGTATAGATTTATTGCATCTTCTTGTGGGGCCATCTTTTGAAGAATATAAGTTGTGTTCAATCAGTGGTGGTTGAGAAAGCTATGTTTCGGTTACGGAGCAAAAGGCAAATAGGTGAGGATGAGCTTGGCATAGGTTAGAGTGGTTCTTACAAACAGTACTAATACTACCACATAAGAAAAATTATACCATAAGTTAGGCTTTTGTTTGGATGTAGTATGATAATATGTTAATTAGAATGTTCAAAGTTTGTGCCCTTGATGAGCATTTTCATAACCGCACTTTCCCCACACAGCATGCAGTGTGCAAAAGATTTGTCCCCACGCCCCAGGAAGCAGATGGCGGTATATCAGTTATTAGTCCGACTCCATACCTGTATCTCTGCCAAAAACTCTCCGATTTGCGTGAAGTTTTCAGGACATTGGGAAAATTGAATGTGACAATTGCACATGTTCATCAAAATAAGAATAAGAATCGAAACTTAAAACATTAGCACATGATCACCCGAGTCCTCATCATGATGATACTTGACTTTTAAAAAGTATTCAAGCCTAGTTCTGCCTGACATTTTTCAAAATATTTCCCCGCCAGTTGTTGCAAAGTGATATCTATCTGTGCTCAAAGGTCAAACAAACCTTTCAGGAAGGAAGTTATAACTTTACCAAGTGTGCATGTCTCAAAGGAGATCAATCCTCCGTTTTTGTTGCTGTATGTGAGGCTTCGTGGTGAAACCAGGTGTTTGTCAAAACAATGACATCAAAGAAAGCTTCATTTTTCCAATGGTTTGGCCTTTTTTTTCGAATTTTTGTTTTTTGGCTCACCGCCTTTTATGTCCCTTTGGAAATACATTTTTGTGTGGATTTTACTGGAAAACGGTGATTAAACGCACGTAAATGGTAAATTGTCAGTGTCCCAGTACTTTCAAGCTTTGGAAATCACCAAACTTTGACCGCCATTTTCTCGCTAATTTCATCTTTGAAACCAGATGGCCCCCATATTTTTCAATGCAAATATCTCGACTTTGGCTCAAGATTGATGGGTAGTTTTTTCATCGAAAGCAAGAAAAATGAACAAGCTTTACAATGGTATCAATAACTCCACATGCCCAAAAATTGACAAGCGCCTGATTCTACCATGTCGTGGCACATATTACACTGCTCATGCTATCGATCGGTGTCCTGTGGGGTAAAGGAAATGAGATAACTTCTCACCATTGCTGATCAGGGGAAGAGAAGTGAGATAGGTTCTTACCATTGCTGATCAGTGGAAAAGTGTTTAAAAAGGTTGCTCGAAGGACTTCACTTGTAGATCTCATTTTTATTACTTTATATTTGTTTGTTTGTCTTATTCTTCTCTTTCATCATTTATATGCTTGTTCCCCTATCCTGCTTCAATAAACAACTAAGTGTGTGTATGTCCTCCCCAACTGAACAGATCACTCAAGAGGCTGGTGAGATCATGATCACCTTTCCATACGGGTACCACGCTGGCTTCAACCATGGGTTTAACTGTGCAGAGTCAACAAACTTTGCGTCGGAGCGATGGATAGAGTACGGCAAGAGGTGTTTGCAGGTAGGCTTCAGTGCTTGCATATTTCTTTGTTGTTGTCTCTTGGGTCTGTGCTTCTTCTGACAAAATGGTGAATAGACTTAAATGGTATTAGTGTAATTCTGTTGAGTAATTGGTAGTTCCTACTACTTTGCTGTCCGTCTTGTTCCTGATGGTGTTTTGCTTTTATCTGGCACTAAATGGCCGTTATTATGTCAGAGCAAACTATTAATTGACTTTGCAGGTACATTCTTTTTGATACTGGAATGGTCTGAATATGTTTATGAATGTTTTGTGACAATGTAAATGTATGATGGTTTAAAGAAATGGGGGGGGGGGTGTCAAGTTGTGGTGTTTTGATATTCTGGAAAATGGAATGTCTTTGTTGGGGGGGGGGGGGGGGGGCTGCATATGGTCCTCAAAGATATTAAAATGTTTTTGTTTTTACAGCTTAAACTTTTTTTATGACAGCAAATGCAACATTTGAAGTTTATTTTTTAACCTCATGTGCTTACTTCCCACAGTGTATTTGTCGAAAAGACGGTGTGAAGATTTCCATGGATATCTTTGTTCAGAAGTATCAACCCGAACGTTACGAGCTGTGGAAAGCAGGCAAGGACATAGCGCCACACCCAGAAGGACACAAGGACGGGAACCGTTTGAACAGCAACAGGTGAGACGTCTCTCTCTGTCTCTTGTAGATATATCTGTGCTTTGATTGTCAGCTCCACTCAATCACAAGAGCCAGTGTGATTATCAATGGCTTGTTAAAAGAACTGTATAGATTTTTACTAATGACTTATTCTTTTGTTTTTGTTTTGGTAATAGAGCCAGGTCATATATATGACCTGGATGACTGAGAACAACTTTTATACCAGCACTTTTAGGTATTGATTTTTTACCACGTTTATTTATTCCTCTAGGGGAAATTTAGTTTCCATGGCACCTAGTGTATACAATAATTATATTTTACTAACATGCTATTGCCATTCTCCATGTGCTGTATTGTTGTGACCGGTTTATTTAGCTATGAGTTAGTTTAGTAGAGGTTTCATGGCGCTCGCACAGGCATAAGGTCATAAGAGCGCCAGAGCTAAGGGTATTTGATGGTGCTTTAACACTTTGCCATCACAAGCGTTTAGGGGGAAATCCAAAGAAACTAGGTGATAAGCATCGCCGATTGGCGTTTTGTGACGGGAGCGAAAGTAAAGCGTTGTTGCCGATCGACGAGATGTGACTGCATAGTGTTGAAACACTCGCCAGTGACCATACGCTGCTTCCTCGACATGTGTTTGGCATGATGTCTAGTCTTTAGCTCGCTAACAAAGTGGATGTGGGTGGTTGGTGGGTGCTCTGGTGTGGTTTGCTCCTTCTTTCCTATCATGCCCCTGGAATTACCCAGGAATTTGAATAAATCGTCGAGATCCGGAGTGCAACGGGAATTTGAAGAAATCTGTAAATTGCCCCGTGAAAGACCCAGGCAAATACATAAAAGTTCTTGAATATTTGAAAACCAAACCCGATAACGTCCTTGAGTTCATTTTTGCCGGTCGCGATTGTGATATAATATTTATTCGACCTTTCCCGGCCTGAGAGTACGTTACATGCGCACATGCGGTAATGGCGGCAACAAGTGGAAGTATGTGTGATACCGAAGCTCGATCGGGAAAATCAAGATCTGCTTTCGCTTTCGTTACCACCCAGAAACTTGCCGGTAGGGCCTATAGTAGTCTGATAACACCACATTTGTAACATGCAGGCTCTGCATTACAAACGCTGTGTTGCCATGAAAATAAATCATTTATCCTGTGCTGTCACTTGTGTGAAAAAAACAAAAGAAAAAGAAAGTTATACAAGCTTCTTGTCGGGCTCGCCATCGTGACCGGTCATTGAACCTGTGCGTTTTCGTCACATTGTGAGTATCGGCGATGGTTGAGTTCACCAAAGTTCATGTAAAGTTTGAGCGCTGCGAAGTATAGGACTCGGGAATGGGAGGATTATTGATTTTTTTAAAAAGATGCAGGCGGGGGGGAGGGGGGGGGGGGGTTTGAAGGAATGATCTCTCTAGATCTCTCTGCAAAGGGCGCGTTGGTGCACATTCCTTGTGTGGAATCGGGATCCATCATACTCAAATCGTCTAAGCCGTGTTCTTTTTACTAAAGGGTTCCCGTTTCATTGTGTAGGTGATAGTAAATTATATGTATTGTATATTTTAGCTTTCTGTTCAAGATTCGCAGATTTTCAGTGTCACTGCATCTTGCCCTCCGACAGTTCTTACACCTTTCGCTCTGAATAAGTCTACTTGAGCCATTCATGTTATTACTCTACTTTGAGCTAGAGTAATAATTTTTGTCTTTCACGTTTATTATATAAACCTTGACACCCCAACTGGTTCTTGACGGTGGATATTCCTGTTCTAGGCCTTTTCTCAGGCTCAAAGTAAGATTCATTTGTATATAGTTTATATAGGCGAATATGATGAGGGGAAAATATAAATAAGTTAGAACAGACTGAAAAGTCACAGTATCCCAGTGCCACACTGACATCATGTTGTTGACTGGATTCAATGTACCTACATGCATGTGTGTGTAAATATTATATATAATATATAAATGGAGCATGCACTGTCGTTATGTAACATTCTCCCTGGAGAATGGATGAGAACCCCCCCCTTGAAAATTGAGAAGCCGGGTTGGCAGTCACCCTGGGAACAGTTTTTCTAGGAAAATCGAAACTATGAATATGATATTATGATTCCTTTCGGACAAGTGTTTTTTTTTTAATAGGCTTTCGTCATGAATTTCTTGACCAAATCTCCTTGAATTTTAACAATTTCTCCTTGAAACCTCCTTGAAAACTCCTTGAATTTGATGGGAAGTTCATGGCAGGAAACCTGTTGATTGAAAGTCCCCCTTCTGATTATTTTCTACATTTACTGATGAATTCGAATTCCTCCGCAACCCTTTTTTTTGTGGTTTTGTGTAACCAAAAGTCCTTGTCCCTGCAGTTTGTACTTTTCCAGTGGTTTGAAACACGTTTTACTGCTTGAAAATTTATGATCTTTGCATAAGCCAATGGTAAGCATTGTGGATGAATAAGTCGTCCAATAACAGCAGGGGTTTATGTTATGTTCCCATTTAAAAAAAAATTTTTTTAATTAAGTTTTGAAAACTTAATGATTGATCAAAACAAATTTATTTGATTGGTGTATAGTAATAATCACTTTTTTCCTTGTCTTTTTTTCTCTCTTCGTGAATCTAAAGGTCTTCCAAGAAAAAGATTGAAGCGAATAGCTCTGGTACAGCTCACTCCCGTCGCCACCCGCTGAAGGACGATTTTACCGCGGAGTCTGTCAAAGAGGTATCTGCCAATGGGTCTTCTGATGCTCCCAAATCTAAATCCCACAAGTCCACCAAAAAAGTTAAGCCACAGCTTCCTTCAGGGGACTCGTCTGGAGACGGCCAAACTGCCCCGAAGAAGAAACCCAGGAAAAAGAAGGCAGCGGAGGGTCCGACTGGTCAGGAGGTCCCAGCGAAGAAAGGGAAACAAAGCGCTTCCAAGAGTAAGAACTCTAATGTGATGGTTCCTACAGCAGCAGCAGGGAACTCTCTCAGCCCAGTGAAAAGCCATGTGGTGCCGCTGACAGCAACGAGTGTGTCGCCAAAGTCGGAGGAGGATCAGAAGCCACAGGCCTTGGTGAATCAGGACGAGCTTGTGAAACGCTCAAAGATTGATGAGTATCTGAAGTTACCGAAACCTCTTGAAGAATCAAAACCGTCAAGCTTTCCAAAAGGCATCTCTGCTTTTCAAGAGGCGTTCATGAAATCCCTAGTGCCGTCTGGAGGTGAAGTAAAGCAGGAATCCGCAGATTCTTCCTTGGCAGCATCTGTGAAGAAAGAGGTCTGTAATGGTTTTTCAGGGGAACAACTGAAAGCGGAGTTGCTGAAACCCGTTCCCAGTCAAGTAAAGAATTCCCCTCAGAGTGTTACTCCTCAAGGGGAGAATGGTGGAAGATATCAAGGCAGCACAGTTCTTCAGGGCCCTCAGACTTCGGTCAACATCCCCGTGTCTTCTGGGGTTCCTGTCAACCCGACCAGCATAGGCACTGCCCAGATGGAGCACAAGTCGGCTGGCACAACGTCTGGTGTACCTGTAGCGGGTGTGGTGCTCCCAAAGAAGATCCAGCCTCACCAGCTGCTCCGAGGCGGCCTCAAGCCCCACGAGCTGCTTCGTTCGGCGGGTGAGCCGTGCGGTGCGGTCACACTACAGCACAGACCTCCCCAGAGCTCAGCCAGTCAAGCGGCCTCGCTGGCTTCGTTCCCCGCGACTGCCGTCACTCCATCGCAACTTCCGTTTGTGGCCGATTCGGGTGTCTCTGTACGTAAGGCTGGTGCTGTGGGCTCTGCGATGTCGCTGCCAGGGAGCGGTCCCATGACAGTTGTTGAGAAGCCACAAGTGCATGCTGGTCATTTCTCCCCGCCGCTGCTGTCCCAAGCTTCTCCCCATAACACTGCTCAGTGCAACCAGTTGCCGATGTCTGGGGTTGGTCAGTCCACCGATGGCCATCAAGTGTGGGGGGCGCGACCTTCCTGGATGCCCAAGCCCACCAAAGTGGAGGGTGGCGTGTGGGGGGCTCTGAGGGCCGAGAGTGAAAGGACCAAAGTGGCTGCCACCGTGCAGCAGAATGATGGTGCTGGACAACTGGTAAAACTGGCGGGGAAAGCTGTGCCCAGTGTGAAGTCTCCTGTAACAACACAGCCAGGTCCCACAGCCGGTCTGGTTAAGCTGCCAAATGGTCAGATTGTGAGTCTAACAGACGGTCGTCAACTACCGATACAGCTTGCTAGTGTCTCCCAGCCTGTGCCTCCCAACAATCTCGCAAACACTCCGGTGCAGGTGTCGTCCAATGGTTTTGGTTCCAACAAGGCTACCTCGTATTTCAATCCCCCCTCTACCAACAACTCACAGCCACAGTTTGCGAGTCAAAACACCACGGCCTCTATCCTTAACGGTTCTTTTCAAAGACAAAACACAAATACACTGGTGGCACCACCGTCAGTACAGGAGAATTTTCTACAGCTCAAAATGGCCAATGGGAGGCAAGATGCTGCTCCCTGTGTCCAAACCTCAAATGTCACTTCTCCAGCAGGACTCCTCCCCCAACCACAGGCTCATCTCACCCAGCCTTCTGTCATGAATGTGAGAATAATCCGTTCTCCCGAGAGTAGCATGGGATCTCAACAGATATCTGGGAGTAACATGGGATCTCAACAGATATCCGGGAACAACATGGGATCTCAACAGATGCCCAGGAACAACATGGGATCTCAACAGATGCCCGGGAACAACATGGGATCTCAACAGATGCCCGGGAACAACATGGGATCTCAACAGATGCCCGGGAACAACATGGGATCTCAACAGATGCTCGGGAACAACATGGGATCTCAACAGATGCCCGGGAACAACATGGGATCTCAACAGATGCCCGGGAACAACATGGGATCTCAACAGATGCCCGGGAACAACATGGGATCTCAACAAGCGCCTGGGAATGCCCCTAGTCAGCAGCCTGTGATAAGTGGAGTGCAGAACACATCTTTGCCAGCTCCTGTAGGTACTGGTTTCAATGGTAGTTCAAACCAGTCTGGATCTGAGTTTTTCAGGGTCTTGCCACAGAATGGCTCTGTACAAACAGCTCCAGCCCAGCAGTTTGTGAACACCTTAGTAGGTCGGACTGGCACACAGCTTGGACTCAACCAGAACCAGATTGTCGTGGGTCCCTCGGGACAGCTAACGGTCGTCACCTCCTTGCCTCAGTCAGCTTTCCAGGCTTTTCCTTCGCAAACTTTTCACACCAGTTTGCCCCTGAAGTCGTTTATGGGTCAGATCATAGGTCAGCGAGGGGCTGTACCCCAGATTGTTGTGAACCCGGGCCAATTGGTGAGCGGGACCAATGGGAGTACAAGCCAAGAGACAAAGGATTCGAATGCCTTTCAGTTTGTGCCTCAAACTGCTCCTACCACGATCAAAGTTCAGGCTCCTGCACCGCCCACTCAAGCGTTTGCATCTTCCCCAGCCTCTGCTGCTGGCAGCCTACAGACTGTAGCTACTAGTGTCCCTCAAAGCACTGTGATCAAGGTCCGTGGAAGTGGGGGTTTGAACATCTCTCCAGCGCTGCCAAGGCCAGACTGTACACCCATTGTGTTCTCAAACTCCCTGGATTCTGTTGGCACCGAAAGGAATCAGAAACCAACTTCGCAACTCTTGAATACTTTGTCGAGTGTCTCCAACACCGAGTCACGGGTACGAGAGATACTCGCTCAGGCCCAGCGGACTGCCCTTTTGCAACAGCAGGAAATAATGAACACTCCGCTGGCTGAAGCTGCCAAGAGGAAGAAGCAGAACCCCGGCCAGAGGAGCAAACCATCTGCTGGCAAAGCTAGTTTGTCCAAGGTCGCATCTCGATTTGTGGCTGCTCCCACTGTCTCTGCTTCCTCCTCACAGTGTACCGTTTCTGTCGCTGAGACTCTGCTGCAGATGGCTCAGGGAGGAGTCGGGACCAACAGTCTCCCCACCACATCCCTCGGACTCCTCTCCTCCAACTCCTCCAGTAAGGAAGATCACGTGCACCTGCTGAATATAGACTCCAATGTGATCACTGTTCACAAGACCTCTTCCCCTAGCTTGCAGGGCGTGGTGGCACCACCCGTACTTGTCAGCATGCAGTCGAGCACACCCTTATCGGGCGCCCCCCTGTTGTTCCCTCAGACCGATGTGCATGGTGCTGACCATTCCTTTGCCCCTGAGTTGACCCCTCAGAGGGGAAAACCAGACCTGCCCGTCAACCAGCAGAAGTCCCGCCCCCCGTCCCTGTCCCCTGCCCTCAGTGACAGAATGCCCACACTGACCCCTTTCCAGTCCCCTGCTGTGACTAATGGTGACAATATACCACTTCCCATTGACAATCCCTTGTGTGCTACCTTGGAGTCCTTCCGCCCCACATCTTCGTTATCCTCTACGTCGTCTTACCAAGACATTTTTAATTCTGCCGAGCTAAGAAATGATTTATCCATGCCTGAGTTGCGACAGCCGTCTCTAGATGGCCATCCCTCATCTAACCTGACTCAGCTCGCCCCAATGAAACATTACTCCCCCACTAACCCTTCGACTTCCTCGTCTGCCTCGCCCGGTCTCGGAGATCTCCACATCCACACGGGATCGTCGTTGTCCTCTGACCAACTGTTCCCACAGCTCTCCCCCCACATCGAAGAGCACCACTACGCAGCTGTCGGCATCCCTCGATCCCACGGGCAGAGCGCCGGGACAGGGAAGCGCCCGGGGAAAAGCAGGTCTCGGAAAGCCGCCAAAACCAAACCTGACCCTGACACGACCCCTAAGCAGCAGTCCGTGGATCTTCCTGCGTGCAGCCAGCCCCCCGAGATGCCTCGTCTGTCCCCACAGGTGAGAAGCTCGTGGCCGTCAGATCTTTGTCTCTGTGACCCGGCCAGCACTGACCCCAACTGGGTCATCTCACCACCTTCAGTCCACCATCTCACTACTCCTTTGAGCTCTCTTTCTCCCCGGCCCCGTGTCCTAGTCCCCTCCTTCCCTGAGCCCAGTGTAGCCATGGCCTCAAGGCAGCTCATCCCCCAGCCTATCATCACCAGCACCAGAGTAGCCCCTTCTAGTCGTTACCCCCCTCTTACATTGCCGCCACAGCAAGCCAAACAACACAGTAAGAGAAAAATCAAGCTGGGACAGGAGCAGTTGCGACAAACTGTCGAAGCAAAACGATTGCATGCTAGAACCCAGAAGTTGAGTCAAAGCGGGCCAAAGAAAGTGAAAAGTAATGGGTCAGCAAATGAAGAAGCCCCTCTGGCTGGGCAGGAATATGGTACCCCTCCAGTCTTGATGCCAGAAAGTTTTTCTTGCACCTTAGAAGAAGAGAGGAGTACGCCTCCCGAATTAGTTATGGTTCAAGACCACGTTGCGACCTCTGCTCCTCCAAGCACGTCCGACCTAGGGTTGCTAGACGAACTGTCCTTGAGCAAAGGTAACAAGGTATAGGTGTCTTGCTATTTTGTCAAAATTTTCAGTGTTAGTTTTTCCCACCACTTTTCGGTGTTGAACCCTCCTCATGGTGTAGTTGTGTTGACAGTTGAATGTTGTGTGCACCCTGCATCCTTTAGTAACCTGTAGTAGCCTTGAAGGTGGGAAAGTTGCATGGACCTTTAGTCTGGGAAGAGTAAATGGGGCCTTACACTGTCCTCTCCCATTTGGGCTCTTTTAGTCCTAGTGACATAGGAGTATGAGCCCTTTGTAGTAGTTGCCATGAGGGTTGCATGTGGCCTTCTTCCAAACACTGGAATTTGCATGGTCCCTGTATTTGAAGATGAAGTTTGACCAAGGCTTTTATTGACAAAGACACGTTTTGCACGTGTGTTTTTTACGAAGAGAACCTGTTATCCTGTATTTGAAGACATGAAATTGGAATGAGACCTGTTGCCATGAAATTGTGTAATGTGCCTTGGCTTTTTCGCTATGAAGACTTGAGATTTGCATGGCTTTTTTTGCTTTGAAGACATGGCCATTAGAACCCCTTTTTCTAGGGCCGATATAAAACATGCCCTGAACCGTCTGGCAGTGAAGGTATCAAATGAATAAATTTGATTAATAAATGAAGCATGAAGGCCTGGAGTTTGTGTTGGGCTTTCTAGCCTTGGAAGATGTAACATTCTGTGTCAGCTTGAGAGGGGGGGTGGGGGTGGGCATGGAGAACTCTGGAGATGGTTGGACTGTGTCTAAACATAGCACTGGTCATGATGGTTCACCCTCTAGAATCTAAAGAGCTTCCTCCAAAATTTGTTTGCATAATTACGAAACTGACGCTGACAAAGGAAACTGTTTGGTTTCTAAAATGAGACATTTTCAGTTCAAAATATTCTTTGCTTCAATTTGTACGCATGATGTGTCTGTCCCCTGCTAAAAATGATATTTAATGCATAATATAGCTGTCACCATAGACACTTCAGTATTTTTCTTACAATCTCAACTAGAGGGGTGAACCATTTTGTTGTGTAGCATCTTTGTCTTTGAGTGAAATAATATAGGATTTGGTGTTTTGATGTTGTGGCGCTCCCTGTGTAGAATGTATGTTTTGCCATCATTTATGTCAGACCTCCTTGGTGACAGTATTTGCACGTTTCTCGTATTTGTCTATGTATGCATGTGTGCTTTTCTTTTTTTCCTCAATAAAGTTGCCATGGCATTTTCTTACTGTTTCATATTGTTCCTGTGGTGGTGATTTTTCTTTTTTCGGTGTTGTTGGACACTGTCTAAATTTGAATTGGTTGTGGTGATTGCTATTATTTATTTTATTTAATTTCTGTTGACATTCCCTTTCTTTCTTAGTTTTCCCTTCTTTGGCCTCTTTTTTACTCGGAGATTCCTTTGTAGCATAACCTTTTGTTGTATGGAAGTAGAAGTACTAATATTTTACTGAAAATGCTAACATAGGAATTAACAATGGTAATACTTCGAAGTGAATAATTTGTGGTCCTTGTCACAGAATTTTCTTCTAGATTTGTAGTGATAAAAGAGGGATGGGTGGGGTGGGGGGCATCTGCGAGTAATGTCCTGTATTTATGGATAGCTTCAGGGGTGGAACACTGAAGGTATATCCCTGTTGGTCATCTACCTGGTTTTTCTCCTTTGGCATTGTATGACAGTGTATCGCTAAAGATTTTTTTGTTGTAAATTGTAATTTTTACTAAGTGAGAAGATGGCATTTTCCTCAAATATAATTAAAAAAACAAGTCTGCTGCCCCCCACCCCCCAATCAAAAAAAAAAAATAAATCAAGGCAACTGATGGTAAAAAAACCAAAGCTGTCAAGTACTCCCTATTAGAAAAAAAGAAAATAAATAACTAAAAATGTTTCAATATACGTTTTTTGTGTCATTATTTCTATTTCTCTTCCCTTTGCCTTGTGCTTTGCATGTGTGTAACTGGAAGGTAGCACCCATTCTCTTGTTTCCTGTCAGTTGGCATGCTAAAGTAGACTTGACACCTCAGATATTTACCAGTACAGTGGAACATCCTCTAACAGCCACCTGTACAAACTACCACTTCCCACTTCTCTCCTTGTTTAAAAAAAAGTAAAAACATGTATTTTAACACTATCTGTACGCCCTGGGGTCATTTTTGTACCCCCGGGGTTGTAATGGTTTTATTCATCACATTTTAGAATACTTCTAATACGAAGATCTCGTTGAAACTTTCAGTATTTCTCAAAAAATCATTTTGATAGACTGCTATGCAAAGCGTGAGGATCGGATTAACAAGTAAATTTCCTCTTTGGAAGTGGTGGCACAGAGTTTCCCAGGTCGTATGGATATGATAGTAAAACACAAGGTACGGATAGGGTTAAAGACATTGTCCCAGACCTCCACTTGCCTTAAGACAGCCACTTTTTTCAACAATGGGTGGCCTTCATGGGCAATTTCGACTACGCATATTTGTATTTTAGGAGGTTTATCATAATATTGTGTATATTGATGACCTAGGCACAAACCATCTTAGTTTCTCTCTGATGCTTTTATGCTTTATTTTTAATTAACAAACAAAAATCCCCATTTCACCCTGTCAGTTTATATAACAGTCATCAGACCAATATTAATGTGCTATACCACCATTTGTCTCACTGTGAGTCAAGTAAAAAATCACAATGATACAGACTTGTCCTTACGTATAAAGTAATGACTAAACAGACATGGTTTGTTTATGAGGCTGTCAAGATACAGTGCAGCCTCTCTATAACGATCTTCGATATAACAACATCTTCTGTATACATGGGGCCCAGGTCCCGATTTTTTGCTTTTATCATAAGTAATGTTTTTGGTTGCCTCTTTATAACGACATTTTTTTGGGGTCCCGACAATGTTATTATAGAGAGGCTGCACTGTAGGCTTCAGAAGGAAGTGTCTAGTCTTCTTATGTCAATGTAGATGTCAGAAGGGAAACTGCATGCAACAGTTGTTTTTCCTTGCTTGCTATTTGGTGAAAAGATGTTTAGAGATAAGGAAGTGAACTTGGTAAAAGATTTTCTGTTCTGTCCATACTGTTTATACTCGCTTATAGCACAACCTGATGAATAATACGAGGGACTGACTTTGACTCCCAAATGGACCTATTTTTGTAGGTCGCGTGTGTAATATGGGGTGAATTTTTTTTACGTGCTGGAGGAGACTCGGTGTGTGTGAAATAAAGTGCTGGAAATCTATAACTGCAAACCGGCAGGAAAGTTACTGTGGTCTTTCGAGTATGCAACAATTTTCAGCTTGAAGCCTGCCTTGTAACCCATCACTCTTCCACTTCGTTGTGGCCTTCATGACTTGAAATGCTAGTAGTAGTATAATACACACCTGCTGAGTACTCAGATAAAACCCGAGCCCTCTAATTCTTTTTTTTTTCCTTTGGAAGAACCCCGATCAGATTTGCGTAAAATTCTATTTTTTTCTTGAATTCAGTTTGCTGGTCATATTGACCTTATCGTTAATAATGTGAAAATACACAGGTTTATTTGCAATATTTGCACAACTTTTTGTGAAAGAGGTGAAAATACACATTTTTATTGGCTTGTATTTGCAATTCTAGTTTATTTGCCTCAATCATTTCCTAACGTAATCTGAATCTACTGGGGTTTGGAGACTTTTACTTTCCCCCCCCCTGAACTTTGATTTTGAGAGAGTTTCTGAGGTCAGAGGAAATCTATTTATGGTTATGGAGGGGTTAGCTGGCATGTCTGATCATATTTATTTGGACACGTTCCCCTTTGTTGGGCTTGGTCCTGTCTGTATGTTGGGTGTATGATAAGCGAGTATAGATTTTAGACCTCATTTGTGTTGTTTTGTAAGCGGGTATATACAGTCTTTGGTAATGGACAGAAGACAACATCATATTTTTAAAAGTACTCTTTCTTCTTAAGAAAGAAAAAAAACCACTGAAAAAATAATTCTATTTCTTTTTAAAGTTATTCGACAGTACATTAAACATTACATTGATAAAGTTTGATATTGCTTACAAATGAAACAATATACTTGCAGATATGGTAGTGTAAAAAACATGATTACATATTTCAGGCATCTTTAACTATCCAAAAAAGAAGACACATTGTGAACATTGGAAATTTGAGGCGTCCATAAAATCAGTATCCTATGAAGTTAGATTGTAATACCTTGAAGGTTGTATGAGTTAAGTTAGGGAGGTGTTTGTCTGACCTTTGTGACATGGTCGTTTAGATTGTAATATTTGGAAGGTTGCATGAGGTATGGAGGTGTTTGTCTGTAATATTTGGAAGGTTTTATGAGTTAGGCAAGTGTTTGACCTTTGTTACATGGTCGTTTTATGAGTGTGGGAGCTGTTTGTCTGACCTTTGTGACATGGTGGTTTTCCAGGCTTGGAGCCAGCTGACCTCTGCTGTCTCCAGTGAGACGGACAAAAAGAGAAAGAAGAAAGCGGGGACGGCAGGGCAGGCGAAAAAGCGAAACTTGAAAACCGCGAAGGACAGCACGGCAGCTCTGGGTGGCGAGGGAGAAAATATTGTCTGTGAAGCGTTGCAAGAGGTGTCACCTCTTGATAACAGCCACCCACAGTTGCCGGGCAACCCTGCGGCCGCAACAACAACTACAACAGCAGGAGGGCATAATACCGTGACTGATGGTGAGACTTTAATGATGTGGTTTTCCTTTCTGATTCTGATATTCCTCTTATTGTTACTTCAAGACTGACGCGTTATGTGCTTAGTTTTACGAGCACCTATGATGGAATAGCTCTGTGGGTGGTTGGCAGGTGCTCTGGTGTGGTTTGCTTCTTTCTAATCATACATCTATCGTCCTGATCTCTCCTCCCTTCTTTTTTGTGTTTGGTGTTGCAAGTGCCCTGAAACTCTTACTAAAAGTAAACTCTCTTGTAACAACTCTAATCTTGGGCACTTATGTGACCTTATTGTGTTGTAAGTGCTGTCAAACTTTTACTAAGTGGGTGGTTGGTGGGTGCTCTGGTATGGTTTGCTCCTTCTTTCCTATCAAACATCTATCATGGGTGGTTGGCGGGTGCTCTGGTGTGGTTTGCTTCTTCTTTCCTATCAAACATCTATCGTCCTTATCTCCCCTTCTTCTTTTTTATGTTTGTTACTCTCTTGTAACACCTCTAATCTTTTGGCGCTCATATGACCTTATGCAGTTGCGAGCGCAGTAAAACCTCGACTAAAACTTAAACTAAAACATCTATCATCCTTATCTCTCCTTTTTTGTGTATGTTACTCTCTTGTAACACATCTATTCTTCGGCACTTGTATGACCATATTGTGTTACGAGTGCCGTAAAACTTACAAAAAAACCCAAACAAAAACAAACTATATAAAACAAACAATTTCTATGCTTCTGTCTGGTGTACAGACCTGGCTGGCGAGCGGCCATTGTTCTCAGGCCTGGAGGAGGCGTGGGCCCGACCGGTCAACAAGTTGTGGAAGTGTAGTCCCCCGGACGAGGAGGCCGTGCGCCACTACAACTTAGTCATGTCCACGCGAAGTCCCCACTGCACCGTGTGTTCCCTGTTCCAGAGAGTCAACGTGAGTCTTTTTGTTCTTCTGTCTTTGGTGTCATCTTGATAATCGAAGTAGACTTTGTGCTGTTGAGGCTAGAGAGGTGAGCAGAGTAAACCTGATTCCCTGTTTGTACTTCTCTAAAATCACCTACATTTTCTATATGTGTAACTCTCCAGTAATATTTTAGATCTTCAGTATTTATATGACGTATTAGTGTTGCAATTGCTGTAAAGCTCCTACTACTAGAATATACTACAATAGCATGTTAATACTGGTGTCGCGGTCAGGCTGTTCGCTTGGTAGGCAGAAGACGTGGATTCAGTCACGGTGTGTTTGTGTGTGGGTGTGTTTGTGTGTGTATGTATGTGTGTTTTTGGGTGTGTGTGTATGTGTGTGTGTTCCCATCTACTGGGATTCTATATCCTACTCTGTCTGTGTTGAGCTTCAACAGGCTGGGTCAAGTCAGCCAGCTTTCCAAATTACCTAAATTATGTTGTTGGGGGGGTGTATAAAACCTAAAAGAGCATGTGATTTTATTCCTCAACAGATGGAGACCGAGCTGGATCTGTTCACGAGTGATTGGGGGGGGGGGGGTTATAAAACTTGTACAACATAAATAAAAGAGCATGTAATTTTCTTCCTCATCAGACGGAGACCGAGCGGGATCTGTTTATGCGAGATGGAAAGGGGGGGGGGGGGGGGGGGTATAAAAATTGTACAACATAAGTTTGTTAAAATGTGATTTTCTTCCTCATCAGACGGAGACCGAACTGGATCTGTTTACGAGTGATGATATCCTGCAGGGGGCGCCGTCAATCCCGTCCCGGTCCCTGCCAATGACCCCTGAGGCCTCGTTTGCCGTCAGTGCCTCCAACAAGACTCCGTTCTGCGACTACTCCCCGGTGGACGATGACGGTCTCAGTGCCTTGTTGACCTGTAGCAGGTGTTGCGTCTGTGTGCACGCAAGTACGTCTTGTTCTGTTTTATTTTGTCCTTTTTTTACTTGATTGTTGGTTTGTTCAGTTGGTTTTACAACTCGGGGGCGGGTAGGATGTCTCTGCGCATTCCTGCCCCCCACGGGTCGTGCCACTGACTGAAGTGTCTTCAGGCCATTCCCAAAGGGGGACATTAACATGTTCTTATGCACAGTAGAATTATTTATGGGCTGATTTATCAATGTCATGCTCATACTGTGCCGGAACAACATAGGTGGAACTGCTGCTTTTTCTTTCCTAATCCGTACTATTGTCATTTTTCCTCTACTTCTTTTTTATGTTAGTCGAAGCAGACTTTGTGCTGTTGAGGTTAGATAGGTGAGCTGAGTAAACCTGATTTCCTGTTGAGACTTCTTTGTTGACATCCACCCCTTGGCGCTCATATGACCATATGCAGTTGCAAGCGCCGTAAAACCTTACTAAAACTAAAGGATGGAACACTAGCAGACCAATTGGTTCAGAAAGTTGACGTTAACGCTGTGCTGTGTACTGTGTTCCCTTTCAGTCTTAAGTACTCACTGTGAATTCAATGTCCCTTCCCTTCAACAAGTAATCCATTTCCTGACACTCAGTATATTTTTTATCTCCCCTACAGGTTGCTATGGTGAGCTACAGTCCGTTTCTCCTGCCGACTGGCTGTGTTCTGCGTGCCGTTCTGTGGAGAATATGAGTAATTTAGTGAGTATCTTAGCATTTCCCACAGGTACAATAAAGTACCATCCTATCATCTTATCTTGTGGGGAGGAAATGTGGTCTAGAAGTGCTCGCCTCTCATGTCAAAATGTACCGGGTCGGAAACCAGTCAGTATCTTCATGTTCAATTTTATCTTATGCTTCTATTTTTTTTCTTCTTCTGCTACCTCTTCCTTGCCTCTTTTCTCTTCTTCATTCAATCTTTTCTTCTTCTCAGTTTAAAAAAAACAACTAATCACTCTCTCTCGTATCTCCTTGTGCCTCCACACCCGTGATCTTAAGGCAGGTAAGATGGAACATCTAGTAAAAAAATATATAAAAGGTTCTATTCCCATGATTCCCATGATATGGTGGGTTTTTTTAACTTTAAAATTTGATTTTGTGTAAACCTGAAAACATTTGTCTTCATTTGAATCTAGCATGACCATGTACAGAGATGCCAACCCTCACGATTTTGGCGAGATACTCATGAAAACACGACCAGTCTCACGCCTCAACGATTTTGTGTACTCTCACAAAAATCAGTGGTCGGGTTAAACGGGATCTTATTCGGGATAAAAATCACTAGGACACTGGTCGTAATAATCACAAAGACTCATCATTGAATTCCGCTTCTGTTTCCGCCAAAGCTTTGATCAGTCATTTGGGCCTATTATGCCATCGCCGATCATGTATTTGGTTCTCCTCTTTTTCCGTGTGTTGAAGCATTTTGGCATTGTTACTCTAGACTCGTCTTGTGTGATTTTTGGGTTTATTGAATACCATATATCATCCGTTACGCAGTCTCACTAAAAAAATTCAAATCTCACTTAAAATTTACTTGGATCTCGCTAAAAGCTTTCATATTAGGTTGGCATCTCTGCATGTAAGTGTTGTACTGGGTTGTTCAGGATGTTGGACTTGCCATCATTATTATTGTTTTTCTTGTCTCTAGCTGTCGATGTTTTCTTTTTCAGTTCTGCGCTGTTTGCTGCCTGCGAGGAGGTGCTCTGAAGCCCACCACGGACGGCCGCTGGGCTCACATTGTTTGTGCTCTGGCTATTGGAGAGGCTTTCTTCAAGAACGTCCGAGCAAGGGCTCCCATTAACATTGCCAAGATCACAGCTGAACGCTTTAAACTGGTATGTTTTAGTTTGTTTAGTAAGAGTTTTTCAGCATTCACAACTGCATAAAGTCATATGAGCGGGCTAAACTAGTATGTGGAGACGAGACTGTTTTGGGCTGTAAGGTTGTTCTTTGACGCTGGAGACGGTTGTAATGATAAATTATAATAGAATGATGGTAGTTAAACGTTTTTGTCCAGTACATGTTCATACTCGAAAGTAGGCTCTAATATGCTTGACATCTGATTAGTTTCCCCAAGAAACCAAACAACATTTCAAAACCTTCTCAGCTTCCTACATGACTTGCGACAGTGACAATGTTTACCTTTTTTATTTGATTTAGACATGTAGGTGTTTGGGGGGGGGGTTAGTGCCACTGGTAGGTCCTTGATCTTTTCTGTTATCTTTTTATGACTTAGCTGCAGATGTGTCACTGGTAGTTTCTATATCTTTTCTTTCTGTCTTTCTATTATGTCTGTCTGTGTGTGTTCCTTTTTCCCTGCACTGAATGGCCAGTATTGCACAATTCTATCCTCTTACAGAAGGCGTCATGTTCCCGCCCCCTTGCCCTCTATTTCCAGAAATGTTCGCTATGCAGCCACAAGCTGGAGCCCTCAGTGAGCCATCAGACGGCATGTGTCCAGTGCTCCCAGGGCCGCTGCACCAAAGCCTTCCACGTGACCTGTGCCTACGCGGCGGGGGTGAAGTTTGAGATCAGCGACTGGCCCGTGCCCATCTACATCTCGTGCGCCCGCCACCTGGCCACGCAGCACCGCACGGAGCGACAGGAAGAGCTGCTGGAGCTGACCGCCGGCGACCTGGTGCTGGCCAAACACCGCAACAAGCGCTATTACAAGGCCAAGGTCGTGCACGTGCTGCGGAACAGGCTTTATGAGGTGGACTTTGACGATGGCTCCTACAGTGAGGATCTGCTGCCCGAAGACGTTGCGGTGAGAGAAGCAGGGCTTGATTTTTAACCATAAAGGATGCATAGCTGGAGTCTCTCTCTCTCTAACGCACACACACACACACACACTCACACGCTCTCTCTCTCTCTCCCTCCCTCTCTCTCTCTCTCTCCCTCCCCCCCCCCTCTCTCTCTCTCTCTCTCTTTCTTTTTTTTTACTTTCTCTCTTTCCGTCGTACTCTCCCAGGCCCGCCCCACCACCTTCACCCCTCTTTTTTGCACACATTCCCTCCCATACTGTAGCTCACTGCCCAGACCTACTATATATCCTTTGTAAAAGTTCGCGCTGGGTGACCATAATTGGCGCCATTTTGTATGATCCACTAGGTGTGCTGAGCGCGGTGCCGCGAAGAGAGAGAGGAGGGTCCATTTGTTGTAAGGTCCTTGATGGAAACGAAACTTTTTACTCAAATTTGATTGCGGATTTTAAGACTCCATACTATGCTTGTTATATGTGTGAAAATTGGTAATATTTGATCCACCAATAAGCGAGATAGCCTTCACGAGATAGCCTTCAGCTGCAGGCCCCCCCCCCCCTATTTTTGTTACACATCTCATTGGTAGGCTATCTGGGGAAATAAAAAAAATTGATTAGATCATTGCGTTTTGGATTAAAGGTAAAAAGTTTTCCCAGTATTCCGAGTATTTGTAAGAAAAACGCATGTTGTGGATAAATACTTGAGGTGTGTCTCTCACTCGCTCATCCCAAGGCTTTCCTTTTAACAGGATTGTACCTGCATCATTGGACTGCTCTGTGTTCACCGCTTTATTTTATCTTAAATTTTTTGATTCATTCAAATGTCAACTGAAGTCATTTCTGTTTTTAAATTAATAGGATGAATATTTGGAGTGATTTTCTTTTGGTAGGAACACAACGTTTTATGTAACTGTTGTATTGTATTGTAAAGTGTTCAGAGCCTGTGTACTTTAATCGGGGTTGTGCGCTATTTAAATGTCATTTATTATTTTTATTATTATTATTATTGTTATAATTATTCTCATCATGTGCTATGTTTTGTGTCCCGTGACAGGGGAGGGACTGTGTGCGCGATGGCCCGCCACAGAAAGGGGAGCACGTCCGCATCCGCTGGACAGATGGCGATTTGTACGGGGCAACTTTCCGCAGGGTCAACAAACAGGATGTGTATACCGTAAGTAGATGTATGTTCCGTCGTGCTGTGCTGATTTGAGTTTTAAGTGTTCACAGTTGTTATAAATCATATATTTTGTGTATTGCAAGGAATTGGTACATGGATGATGCAGAGAAAAAAATGGGGGCTGTGAATTGAGTAGGAAGAGCTTTGTTTTAAAGTCTGGCTTGATAGGCTGTCGAAACGTTTTGCTGTGAACATCGGAAGTATTTTTGCATGTTAAATTGATTCCACCATAACTTTTCAGTATTTATTGGCAAGTCAAAATGTGTCAAACGGTGTGCAGATGTGATGCATCTAGAGGTAGTTGTTTTCGGAGTCGTGTGTGAGTTGATGGGAGGTGCTGACTTAATAAGAAGGAGTTGGCGGTTAGTGGGTACCACGGGTAAATTCCACGTTCCCCCTGTTGTTTCTGTCTGATTCTCTGTCTTACTCCTCCCCTGTACTAAGTGACAGGTATTAAGTGGATGTGCTTGTCTTTGCTCGAACAGACAGAATGATCTGAAGATGGTATTTGTGTCCCCAGATTGAGTTTGAGGACGGCTCTCAGCTGCAGGCGAAGAGGGAAGACCTGTGGGCGGAGCATGAAGAAATCCCCAGATATGTGCTCACCAAAGTGGTGAGTTGACCAGGCACCACTTTACCTGCGGAATTACTAGATTACTAGAAGTACTAGCAACTGAAGGAGGGTCTCCATTATCTGCTAAAAATTCTGCAAAAATTAGTGAATCTTGGTTTGAAATGGTTGATTTGGCCGGAAGGGTTGGGGATCTGAACAAGAATCAGCCCCGCAAGATGAAAATTGCTTTCCCTTTTAAATCTTTTTCTTTCCAAGTGGACCCAAATTTTTCAAAGTAAATAATACTAGAAAAGAAATATATATGCTTGTTGACAATGATATTTGAACAGCAAGGTCTTTTTAAATGTTTTGAGGTCTAGAAATATTCTGTATTCATCTGTGACATCTCAGATGATTCAGAGTTAATTTTTCCTTCCTTTTCAATCTGTTTGTGTTTGTCTAATTTGGTGAGGGGATTCTGGGTGAATACCACGTCTTGTCTTTTCCCGTTTTTTTGTTGTTGTCAGCCATTCTTATTGTTTCCCTGCACTGAATGACAGTTACTGTGTTATCTTACTTCTTTTACTATGCAAACAGAACAAAGAGTTAATTGTGAGTGAATTAGGGTAATGAGAGAGTAAAATCTTAAGTGAAATAGAGTAATGTGAAAGTAAAATCTTAAGTGAAATCGAGTAATGTGAATGTAAAATCTTAAGTGAAATAGAGTAATGTGAAAGTTAATCCTGAATGAAAAAGAGGTAATGCGATCATTAATTCTGAGTAAAATAGGGTATTGTGAGAATTACTTGCGACAGGAGTGCAATAACGCTGCTTGTTATGTGTTTCTATCTCTACAGTCGGAGGCCACGGAGAGCAAGTCGAGGCAAGGTGACGGGCAGCTGGGGCAGGACGGGAGGCGAGTCAAGAGGAAAGTCAACTACAAGATGTTGGGCTACCAAGGAGGCCTTAGCCTCTGAGACATCTCTTTGTGGGAGACTTCTCCCGTATTTCCCTTACTTACTTACTTGGTTGGAGAATAGACATCATTGCAGGCGGTACAATGCCATAGCTGCTCCGCCCTCCTCTCCAGGATCCATGAAAGGGTCTGCCTGCTGATTGTGCCAGTCAACAGCTGGTTGGATATTCTTCTCGCTTTTCCACGCAGGTTGCTGTCTCTCCTCGATCCTCTAGAGACATCAGCTTCCCTTAGTCTATCCATTGTGTGTGAAGTGGTACCTTCATCCTCTCTGTGGTCGTTTAACCAATACTGTCAATGCTATCATGACTGTTGATGGATCTAATTGCTTAGTGCCGCCAATTTCAGCCTGGCTGGCGAGCTTATCAGTACATTCATTGCCTTGAACTCCTGCACGACCAGGGCTAAAGATCAGACCTCATTTCCCATAGCGATATTTTCTGGATGAGGCCCAGTGTCTCATAGTTGTCGTACTGCTGTGTACCTTGAACCTTGTATGTGTGATCTTATGCAATGTTTGAAAACGACCCATTGAGTAATAACTAGTGCATCAAGACTGAGGTGGTGTGTGTGGGTAATAGAGAGAGAGAAGAGAGTTAAGATATATTGCACCTTTTTGGAGACTTGAGCAGCAGTAATAATGTACATAGCAATGTCTTCACATTGTTGAACCCCATTAAGCAGTATAATCAGCCCAGCATCCATTGTAAGTTTTAAAAAAACTTCTGTCAGCCTCATGGCTCATGCACATGATAGGTACTTGATCCTTAATTTATTGTGTTTGTGCAATATATCTACTTTATGTTGGAAAGAAGTGGTAATGAGGTTGAAAGTTGTGTGCGTGAGTGAGTAGTTAGGTGTGATGAACATGATTCCTCTACCTGGTCTGTCTGGCGGGCTGTTTTGCTTCTTTGGCTTGGGGATTTGGACGCATTTAGACTTGTATTTTCTGCAACAACAGTGTTAAAACATGGTCGCCTGTAAGGATAAGCGGGCTAATCCAGATATTGAGAGCTTCCAGAAATCTTGACCTACACCAAAAGTGAGCATTGCCCTACCTATAGGAGAAGTTTGGTTTCATTGGTGTGTGTAGTTGTTTGGTTATAGGGAAAACTCTCCTTGTCTTTTAAAGGAACTGAACAAGGGGAAAAAACTTTGCCTTCGATTTTCTCAAAACAGCATTTTTCGGGATAGCCTCTTTGTGCTTAAGAGCGACCAATGTGAGAGTAGACCTTTACTGAACATGCAGATTGACGGATTCATGAAAGAAATGAAAATGTCAGCGCTATGAAGTGAGCTGCTTCAAGTCCTAGTTACCCTTCAGACCTACAGCAGTTCGTTTTGGGGTTCTGAGAAATCTGACGGCAGGGAAATGGCAAAAAGCATTGTCACAATTTGATTGAAATGTAAATGCATTGTTTTGTTCTTCAATGTTTTTTTGTTTGTTTCTTGTGTTAATGTGCTTCTTTGAACTCAAAGTCAAGTGCATAATCCTGGGTGGGGCTCCTGTCCAGTTTTTATAGACCTTGAGTTGTGTGATTGTTTCTGGTCCCGAAGGAAATAATCCTGCCTTTTAAATAATGTTGGGTGTTGAATTGGCCGTTAAAACTCCTGCTATGCCATTGTGTCTGCATACCATAGGCCTACCTGTCTGGGAACATTGGTGAATACTTTCTCTGTACCCAACATTTGCAATTACTAGTCATATTCTATTGATTTTAATGCCTAATGGTTACACGTGGGGTCTGATCAAAACCTTACAGTAGATTTGTACATGTTTTTTTTCCTTGATTCACTCTTCTCTTATAGTTTTTTGTCAGATTGTTTGCCAATTGTCTTGAACCCTGAAGGTCTCCCAGAGTGGCCACAGTTTGTGTGTCAAAGAGGACAGTTTGATTCCCATGTGGGGAAAATATTTCATTGTGAGTGTCTCTTCTTTTGTGCTGGGATGTGTCTCCCACAAGTCCCTATGGCGGAGTGCTTAGGCTTGTCACGGAATATATGTTTGATGTCTGCAAGGGAACACTTTTTTTTCCTTTTAATTGAGTATCTCTGTCTGCTGGGATGTTGTAACCCACTGGCATGCTTGGTTCTCATGTGAAAAGTTTTGGTCAAAGCAGCACACCTGCTTAAGAATAATCTAGATTCTATTGATGGAGGCTGGAAGACGTTGACTTGAAATAATTATCTTGTGGCCAGGTTAGCTGAAGGTTGACCACACTATTGTAGGTGCTTATGCTTGATTTTTTAATTTCTCTATTGGGAGGATAAATTGGTGAAATCCAAGCTTGCTGTGCTTTTGTCCAGGCAATTGTTTGGCGGCATCTGAAGTTATAGTTACAACCCCCCCCCCATGCCAAGAGATAGTCGTGGGGAAAGGATTGTTACTGCTTGTATTTTGCCTTTGCTGGGGTGGGTTTGTGCTGTGTGTGTGTGTGTGTGTGCATGATGATGATGATGTGTGGAAGGTGGGATGTCTCCCCCTCCTGTATGTATAGCAGTCAATTAACTAAGTGTTCTCATCCTCATAAAGACATTTGTGATACAATGATAACATGGTGGCTCATGTTTTCTTCTTGACGGCAGCAATTCTTTCACCTGTACCCCCCCCCCCCCCCTGTAATCATGATGAGTTGTTGTACATATCTTGACTGGGTTTTCTTTTCTTTTTTTTGTACAATATTGTAATGTATGTTGAAGATTTGCTGTGAAATGATTTGCGTGATTGAGACTGAGAGTGGAACAGGTAGCGTTGCCTCATGGGTAACCCCTTTTGATGAGAGTGTGTGTGATGATCAAAACCAAAGTGGGGGGGGTGCTACTGACTGAAGTATCTTTAGAAGGCCATTCCCAAAGGACATTAACTTGTTCTTATACACAGTAGAATTGTAAATGGGCTGATTTGCCAGTGTCATTCTCAAACTGTGCTGGAACAACGTAGGGGGAACTGCTGCTTTTTTCTTTCCTCATCCTTACTGTCGTCATTTTTTCTTCTACTTCTTTTGTATGTTTGTCACTCTCTTGTGAACTGCTATTTCTGGGGTGCCTTGATAGTCGAAGCAGACTGTGTTGTTGAGGCTAGAGAGGTGAGCAGAGTAAGTCTGATTTCCCTGTAAAGACTTCTCTGTTGACATCCACCCCTTGGTGCTCAAATGACCGTATGCAGTTTCGAGTGCTGTAAAACCTTACTAAAACAAACATTGTGGGGGGGGCGCCCTTGAGACTGTGGTGTTGCAGTTATGCTCTCCGCTGGTGCACACAGAAGACCTGAGTTCTTTTCCTGTGCAGGGAAAATCCTTTGATTGGAGATGAACCGGATTTTTTACTGAGGAAGTTGTGCAGGGATCACAGTTTTCCGTGGATTTGCGATTTTCCGCAGTTGCGAGAACTTCCTCCTAAAATCTGCTCCGCGGTCGTTCCGTCACGGCCTCAAGTCAGGCTGTGGAAGGCCTTGCGTAGCCCGAGATTGGCCCTAAAGCGCCCTACGATCTGCGGATTCGACTAAGCTCGGCCTATCGCTGACCGGATGCAAGTGAGGCGGCTCGGCGAAAAAAGAAAGTCATGGACAGTGTAGAAAACATGCACTCTCCTTTGATTGGAGATGAACCGGAACTGACCTTTCCCCTCTTCTTCCAATCTTCCGTCTTCGGTTTGCGAATGAGGAACGCATTTTGAAGACAGTTTGTTCACATCATGCGGAAGATATTTTGATGTATTTTGCATTTTTTAAACTGATGTGGAAAGGTTGGGGGGGGGGGGGGGGGGGGGGGGGGGGTGCGCGCGCAATATTTACGGGTACGATAGTATCACTCTGATTGACCGTCAAAGTTCAGGGGTTGGTGAAAAATTTCTCTGTGATTTTGTGTGCTGAGACGTTGTCTCCCACCCAGCCCCGGGGGCAAGCCCGGACAGATGGGGTAGAAGTGGCTGAGTCGACTCACTCTCTCCTTGTTTCGTGTGATGCAATTTCTATCCAAGAGTAAATCAGTCTTCCATTTTTTTCCCCACTATTATTTCATTTGATGTATGTGGGTGGTTGGCGGGTACTCTGGTGTGGTTTGCTTCTTCTTTCCTCTCAGACATCTATCGTCCTTATCTTTCCTCTTTTTTGTGTGTTTGTTACTCACTCTCTCGTAACAACTCTAAATCTTTGGCACTTATAATATGACCTTATTGTGTTGCAAGTGCAGTAAAACGCTTACTAAAACTAAAACTAAATTAAACTATTTTATTAGATGTGTGTGTGTGTGTGGTTAGAAGAATGAATGTTTTGTATTTATTTCAATTTTTAGTTTGTCATTTTTATGTATGAATGAGGGTTTTGTGCTCCTTACAATGTTCAATTTGTATTTGGTGTCCCTACATAACCAGTAATTTACATACCCAAATGGATTTGGTTTTATTCTTGTCTTTTCTGTATTTTCCCCTATCATTTTAGATGGAAATTTTCCCCTATCATTTTAGATGAAATTTTTCCCCATGTCCTTAAGCAAAGGTCTCAAGTTTAGAAAATTTTGTATTTCGGCATTTAGTCTTTTCACTGTTGTTAGCGAAATGTTTTTCACTTGTGATTGATAATAAAAATACACTGAATATTAAAATGGATGAAAATCGCTTTCCGGTTTTGAAATAAACATGATGCGCAGGAATGTTAGAGGAGTAATGGTTGTGGGTGGTTGGCGGGTGTTCTGGTGTGTGGTTTTGCTCCTTCTTTCCTATCAAACAACTATCGTCTTTATCTCTCCTCCTTTTTATTAGTTTGTTACTCTCTTGTAACATCTCCTATCTTCGGCACGTATGACCTTATTGTGTTGCAAGTGCCGTAAGACTCTTACTAAATCTAATCTGGGCATGGGTGGTTGCTGGTTGTTCTGAGGGCATGTGAAACTTCTCACTGTCCACTGCAGAATTTTCTTACCTGTTCCTGTAGAGATGGTTATAGTTAGTACAGTAGTGTTTTTTTGTTGTTGTGGTCATAGTAGACGCTCAGTTTTGTATACTGCTGGTCCACAACTCGCAACCCTGGTGCTTTCTTGTCGCATAAAGCTCACTCTTTGTTATGAACTATATGCAGGGTTATTAAAAATGGAGATTGGCGCTCATATGACCT